AGTCCCGGGAACAGCAAGTGCGTTCACCCTGGTACAGAGCCAGGTGCTCATAGGTCCTTGACCCCACCATCACTACTGGAAAACGCACAGTAGACAGGCAAACATACCCTAATGTTGCTTCCTTAGGGCCCCAGGCTGGGGATGGCTTGGTGGTGGCCTCCTCTTTGCATGTTTCCCCCAAGCCTGGGAAGTTGGCGAGGAGGGCTGACTTGTCCAGGTAATAAAGGGAACACTCGCGGTTAAAGTCAGGTCAGTTTCTCATCTGCAAAATGGAGACGGAAACTCCAGCCATGCATGGTTGTTGCACAGATTCAGAGAAGATGCCAATGGTTGCAGTAGCTGCTCCAAATCTGCCCAGACCATTTGTTGAGGCAGGAAGGCTGAAGGCTAGACGGGAAGCTGAGCCAACGCCCCTGGCCCAGAGCAGGGCTGCAGGGCTGAGCCCTTTAATCCCTTCATAGACCCGGTGTCTGATTCTTGGAGGCCCCACCCTCACTGTAACAAACATGCAAATGCATCCACATCCTGCATTAAATATAACTCTTCCTTGCTTTAAGAGCTTTTATAAATTTGGTTTTGAAATTACTTTACTATGAGTAACTCATTTAATTTACTATTGGCTATGATTTCTCTTTAATCATCTGGAACTCTTGCCAAAAATCCAACTTATAAATTGTTTTCAAATGTACTGACATTTGTCTGGGTACTAAACTTAACAAATATCAAAGTTGACATACTATTTTCTCAAGGCAGTTAAACATTTGTCAATTTGAACTTTGCTTTTTTCATATTTTGCAGCCCCAAAGTTTTTCTTTCAGCTGGGGGTGGGGGTGGGGGTGGAGAGGGGCCTTTAAAAGTCCGCCTTGCCCTCCAGAGAGGACAGATTTGCTCACAAAGCCAGGGCACTTGAATTGTCCCCATCTCTAGACATGCAGGCCACCCCGAGAGTCTGGCTGCAGAGACTACCCACTCCAGATTGACTCCAGGGCATCCTAAATCAGGAAACTCTCATTCTGAAAACAAAGTGATTTGTCAAACATTGGATTAAATATGATTTAATGCTTAGACCTTTATTGGAATTTCATATTAATAACTTTGCAAATGAAGCAATACTTTGACAGGGTAAATGTCCTGAGGTAGGGTTTAGAAGTCAGGATCACTGTCACCTTAACCAAGCACCCCTACCCTCACCCCGTCCCCAGCTCTGCGGGAACAGCCAGCGCTCCACCTGCTCCCCTCAACTCCCCCAGGAGGGGGCGCCAGGGAGGTGAACCAGTGCAGTGCAGGGTGGGATGTGGCTTGGCACAAGGCCCTCCAACTGCCCAGTCTGCAAGGTTTTGTGATTTACAAGGGGACAGTCCCCCATGTAGATTTCATTCAGGGCCAGCCCCACGACTGGAAGGTGGCAGATTTGTTTGCACGTTTTACTGCACTCTGGCGCTTTTTTTTTTTTTTTTTTTTGTGAGACAGAGTCTCACTGTGTTGCCCGGGCTAGAGTGCCGTGGCATCATCCTAGCTCACAGCAACCTCAAACTCCCGGGCTCAAGCAATCCTTCTGCCTCAGCCTCCCAAGTAGCTGGGACTACAGGCATGCGCCACCATGCCCAGCTAATTTTTTCTATGTATTTTTCATTGTCCGATTAATTTCTTTCCATGTTTCGTAGAGACAGGGTCTCGCTCTTGCTCAGGCTGGTTTCGAACGGCCTCCCAGAGAGCTAGGATTACAGGCGTGAGCCACCGCGCCTGGCCTTCACTCTGGGGCTTTTTAAAGCAGACCAAGTTTTAAAATTCCCTCCACCGCTCACCCTCATTCCCCTCCCCTATCCATGTAAGAGTCTCTGGCCCCTGACCTCTGGCTGCAGAACGGAGGGAAGATGCTGCCTCCTTCACGAAGACACACACGCACCTCCCAAATGGTCTCAAAGAGGGGCGTGATAGGGTTCCAAAAGAGGAAAGGAGGTGGTAGGACAGCGAGGAAGGCGTGGGCAGGTAGAGGGCAAGGAAAGGACTTTAATCTCGGTTCACACACTTTGATTCATCTCTATCGAGAACAGTAAAAAAAAAAATTAGACATTGGACCTGGTGACTTCACTCATGGGCATCTAGACTTAGAGCTTCATGCAGAGATAGTAATAGCTAAGATTTATTGAACACTTACTTAGTACTTTATAACCAGTGACTAATTGAAACCCATGAGAAAAGTGCTATTATTATCTCCATGAAATGGGGTGAGGACCTGGAGGCACAGAGAGGGAAAGTAACTTGCCCAAGGTCACCCAGCCAGAAAATGGTGGAGCTAAAATTCAAACCCATGTGGCCTGGCTCCAGAATGCACACTGTCAGTCACATTAAGCCATAGTTATTCTGAACAGAAAAGAGCTGTAAATCATGGGCAGGCTCACCCTGAGGCAGTGCACTGTAATTAAAATTTATATTTAGAGTATTTTCATGACGTGGATTTATGTTAAAATAATTTTAAAAACAAAATTATACATATGCGATCTTAACTCAAAAATACCATGTTTTAAAAGAACTGAAAGGAATACCTAAATATAGATAAAATGTTTTAAAAATATATACATATATCTCAAGCATACAGCAAATATTTGGAGATTAGATTATGAATGGGTGGGAAAAGAATTTATGAAGACCAAAAAAAAAAAAAAAAAAAAAAAAAAGATTATGAGTGGGCTTTTTTCTTCTTCCCATTTTCTTATATTTCTCAAATTTCTTTAATGAAAATTATTTTCTTTTCATATAGGAGGAAATTTTAAGGCCTTACTGTTTATTTGCTCTTGATAAATGTTTGAAGAGAAATTTCTAAGAAACTGGAAAACCAGAAGCAAGTTGTTTAAAAAATAAATCATGGAGAGTTTGCTAAAAAAACTCTTTACATTTGTAATATTCTTAGAGCTAGGCCTTAGCACACACAGTGAAAAACAGGAGATAAGAAAATGGAATGAAGGATTCTATTAAATAACAAATTCGATGAGTAGATACGGAGTCCTAAGTGCTGGCAAATGGGACAGGCAGTTCTTGCCTTCAGGGACCTTCTAGAAAGATCTGGCTCACACCTTAATCCCAGTGCTTTGGGAGGCCGACGTGGGAGGATTACTTGAGTCCAGGAGTTTGAGACCAGCCTGTGCAACAGAGCAAGACCTCATCTCTAAAAAAATTTTTTTTAATTAGCTGGGCATGGTGGTACACACCTATAGTCTCAGCTACTCAGGAGGCTGAGGCAAGAGGATCATTTAAAGCCCAGAAGTTCCAGGCTGCAGTGAGCTATGATCCCACCACGGCACTCCAGCCTGGGCAACAACAGAGTGAGACCCTGTCTCAAAAAAAAAAAAGAAAAGAAAAAGAAAAAGGAAAGAAAAAAAGAAAAATCTACTCCTGCTTACTTGTACAAGATACAGCTTGCATATATTACCAAATATATTCATCTCCTTGAAAAGTTAGCTCCCCTCACCCTTGAAAAGCATCACCCCTTGGGCTGACGAGGCCATGTGAGGTGCAGGAGCCCTGGACACTGAGTTCCGGTCCAGGCTCTGCCACTGGCCACTTTCGCCTCCTGAGCCTGTTTCCCAACCGGAGTCAGCCAGGGTGTGCGGCCTCCCACTCTTCCCAGCCCCGACGTTCGATTCTGTGACACGTGAATGGCTGCAACGGATTGGCAAGAGACGTCTTCCGGAACTCAAGGGCCCTGGGTCTTGGCCAGCAGCCCTGGCCCGCGGCCCTCAGGAGGCAGGCACGGGAGCTTTCGCCCAGGGCAGCCAGGCACGGAACGGGGCCAGGTACGGGTGCCACTCCCGCCTGCCGAGACGCGGGGCTGGGGCGGAGCGGCCGACAGCACAGGAGGAAGCCGCCGGCCCGGCCCGGCCCAGCCTCCCGCTCCCGCTCCCGCTCCCGCTCTGCCCAGGCCCTCGATTGCACCCGCGCACGCTGTTCCGCGGCTAACGATTTCTGAGGCAGCCAGCCAGAGGAGGCCTGTCCTCCCCGCACAGCCGCAGCTGCAATGACAGGACCTCCCGCCTCCCCGGGACCTTGCACGGCCCGGGCACATTCCGCTTTCCTTCTTTACTTAGGCAACAGACGCCGGCAACCGCTGCGCCAGGAGGTCCTCCAGAAATGATGCATTAAACGGGTCAGAAGCTGAGAGTCAAGGCTGGATTCGGAAGACACAGGATCGTTTCAACCCCTTGCGACAGATTCTGCCCGGGAGTTTGCAGATGCCTATGCCACACCTTCCACTTCCTGAATGGGAATCGCCGAAGGTAGGACCCAGAAAGGGCACTCTAAACAAGACCCCCAGAAGTCCAGAGTTTCAGAGCCACTCACCTCAGGTTGGCCTGTAAGTGCATATTCTCGTATCTACCAGACTGTGCCCTAAGAGGCTGGAAGTGGGGAGGAAGTACAAGGCGGGAAGGGGGCCCCATCCCCCAAGCTGGTGTGACAAGGATGTGCCACAGACCTGGGGCCAGGTATGCCCCCAGAGGGGCAGGCTGGATGCGGCCTGGCGGGCATCTCCTCTCTCCCACAGCCTCCTCTGTCAGTCTCCACGTGCACGAACAGACACCACCGAAGCCCAGCGGCTCCCTCAGAATGGGCTGTTCCTCCATCCACAGCCACCCCCACCACAGCCCTCCCTTCTCCCAACGGAGACCCCGCCTGCCTCATTACTTAAATAACCTTTATTTCTCATGCACTAGGAAAGACGGATCGTATGAAACACTGCAGTTCACAGCAAAGGTCTCAGTCCAGAACATGGCCTGGGGCCAGCCAGGATCCACATCTGCTCAAAGCTCGGGGCCATACTAGGACACTACTCCCAAGGCTAGTGGCAGATCCAGGACCCTGTGGCTGCAGTGGCCCCGGACACAGCGCAGAGCCTCTGTCCTCTTCCACAGAGGCACAGGAAGCTGACACCAGAGGAGCACGTGGGCTGGGGCAAGGACGGAGGAGGCTGCCGGGCAGTGACTTGGTGGAGACGGCGGTCCGCCCCCTCGGGCAGGCAGCCCAGGGCTGTGACCCAGCTCTCGGCCCAGCTCTACCCAGCGCAGAGCTGATGCTCACAGCAGCGCTGTACACACCCCACCCGACTGCTCCTTGGCCACGTGAGACAGGGGCCTAAACTTCAGCCCCAGCCAAAGCTCACATTTGCCCAGGAAGGACCCCAAAGACTAGAGGGGCCAGCCCCCCACGACCATCCCCAGGCCCTGTGGACTCTGGAGAAGCCCACAGGACAGCCAGGCTTTTGAGGATCCTAGGGTAGAGCCACCAGCAAGGCTATCCCTCAAAACCTCGGCTGTCAGGTGCCACCTGAGCTAAGACAATGGTGAAGGAGATTCCCAGGCATTGCTTTCCCTGGGGTGGCCCAGGGACAGGGACAGGGTCAGGGACAGGGACAGGGTCAGGGTCAGAGACATGCAAGACAGAGACAAAGAAGAATGGAGACATGCAGAGACTACAACAGGATGGGAGGGCTCTCAGAACAAAACATGGCTGAGGTGCCGAGATGTGGTGGGCGCTGCGTGGGCCAGGCTCACTGAGGCCCTGGGCTTGTGGCGACACCCGCCTCCTCCAGGATGGTCTCCAGCATCTCGCTCTGGACGGCCTGAGTGATGAGCGCCAGCTCCTGGCACAGGGTCTCATGGCGGTAGCCCACGCGTATGTCTGGCACGTTGGTGCGCCGGATGTCATTTCCCTCGGGGCCTTCCTTGGTGTAGTTGGGTCCCAGCCAATGGCTCTTTACCTGCAGGAAGTGGGGTTAACAGGCGGAGCTGCACCCAGCCCTGGGTGGCCCTGCCTCACTCCGGACCAACCCAGGGCCAGGGCCAGGACTCGAACGCAGAGGAGAGGAGGAGAGACGCGATCCCAAGGTGCAGCCAGGCAGGACAGTATCGTACCTTGTGGGAGAAGCCGCTCATGAGCACACTGTTGCGGGCCAGCTCACACATGTCGCAGGAGCTCAGCTTCCACACCTGGGTGGCGATGCTGTACTCCTCCATCAGCGGCTCCTGCACAGGCCAGGCTCCCTCAGGCAGGCGGGCCCCGGCCCTGCACCCGCTCCCCTGTGGGCCTCGCCACTCGCTGCACTCCACCAGCAGGGGGCAGCACCAGCCCGAACCGACCCCAGTGTCCGAGGACACGGCCTGCCTGGCTGCCTGCCGGACTCTGACCTTGGTAAAGTGGAACTGCAGGGGATCGTCGGTGGACAGGGAGACCATGAGGCCGCGGGACAGGTACTCGGGTAGCGGGTTCCGGTGGTAGCTGAGGAAGAGGCTGTTGTTGCTGAGAGGGGACATGGCGATGCCGATCTGGGCCAGGTAATACAGGTACTGCAAGACTGGGGCCTGCACAGGCGACAGGGAGGAAGAGATTTGTCGGGTGGCCTGGAGACAGGGAGGGCATCTGGTCCTGGGGTGTCCAGGCCACAGCAGTGGGCAGGGGGAGGGGAATCCAAGCTGGGCCCGACGTGCGAAGGGTGAGTTGCAGCCAGAGTCCAAGTTGAGGCCCAGTCTGGAGGCCGGGGTGGGGAGGGTTAATTACACTGGGAAGGCGGAGTCCAGTCTGGGGACTGGGTGGGAGGAGGGTCGGTCACTGGAAGGCCAATGGTTCAGAGGAAGGTGAACAACTGGGAGGGGAGGCTGGAGGTGCAGACCCTGACCTTGCGCAGAAGCAGCCCGTGGGAGATGTTCTCAGCCAGCATGAAAGCTGACACCAGGTGGTGGATGGGCCCAGCCTCCCCGCAGTGTGGCCTCAGCACAAACGTGTGGAAGCCCCTCTGCCTAGGGGGCATGAAGACAGGGTCAGCTCCTGAGCCTGGGCTCACTGGAGCTCCTGAACCCCAGCCCAGCACACGCGTGGCCTCCAGGCAGGGACTGTGTGGGCCTGGGACAAGGGGAGCAGGGGTGCATTCCTGGCTGTGAGGGCTAAGGGGAGGGGCCCTGAGGGCAGAGAAGGAACCCATCCAGCCCAAGCATGGGGCACCAGGTGGGTCAAGGCTCTGGCGGCCCCCGCCAAGGGCACCCAGAGCGAGGTTTGCTGGGTGAGAGACCACGTGGCGCACAGGGGTTCAGCACTGGGTGGAGCAGGCACCTGCGCAGGTGGTTCAACGTGGCCATGTTGGCGAAGGTGTAGTACAGGTAGTAGGCATAGGGTGGGTTGTCCTCCTCCACCCAAGCCTCAGGGAGGGGGCTCTCCAGGTTGAAGACATGGTTCTCGGGCTTGGACTCATCATCCACGCTGTCAAAACCATCCACCTGGCACAGAACCCTGTGATCAGGCCCAGAATTGCACCTGGGGCTGAGGCTGGCCGTCCTCCCCATACCCAGCCCTATGCTGCCTGCTCACGTGCTCCAAGAAAAGGTGTAGTTCCGGGTGGTCCACGTGCACGAACAGACACCACCGAAGCTGGCCGTCCTCCCCATACCCAGCCCTATGCTGCCTGCTCACGTGCTCCAAGAAAAGGTGTAGTTCCGGGTGGCTGGCAGGGTGCACAGTGGCCTCAAACAGAGGCAGGAAGATGTTCTCCAGCATCTCCTGGAAGTTGGCCAGCTGGCCCTTGGTACGGTACACGTCACTGCAGGCGAGACGGCACACAGGCACGTGCAGGTCAGAGCCAGCGAGAGGAAACTCAGCAGGCCAGTAAGGGTCAGAGCTCGGCCCCAAAGCACAGAAGGACACTTAAGCCACACTGGGAAAGTGAGGACACCAGGGTGGGCTGGGCTGAACAGACCGTGGGTGGAACCAGCAGCCCCTCCTTGCACTCAGAGGGCTTGTTGGGGTCAGGGAAGTTCAGCCACCTCAGGAGGGCAGGAGGCAGGCCCTGGCCCCTTGAACACGGCCCCCCATACTCCCTTCCACTCCAAGGGACACTCACAAGAGGCGCGGCACCTGCACGAGCCAGCGCACATTGGGAGAGTGCACGCGGTGCGTGACAGCCCAGCGTGCCAGCTTGTCCCACTCATCCCTCGAGCGCCCGTAGATGGAGAGCCGCAGCTCCGCGTTCTGGTATTTGCTCTCCTCCAGGTCCGACATCACCTCCTAGACACATGGGGAGCAGATATTCTTGCACCCACCACGTGTGCTCAGTCAGACCTCTTCAGGCCTCTTACCCCAAACGACCCCTGCCCAACAGCCCCCCAGATGCCCAGGTCACGTGGCTCAGTAGCCGAGGGCTGCCTCCTTACCTTGATGATGTGAGCAAAGTACTTCCCAGAAACCCTGTTGTCGGTCTTGATGAAGATCTCTCGGAGGACAGACTCCCCAATAGGGTTGTATTTGGCATTGAACTTGTCGAAGCGATGGAAGGTGTTCCTGTCCTGGAGAAGATGGGCAGGCCCAGGTCACCCCAATCCCTGGCCTGACCCAGCCCCTCAGCCCGTGCGACTGGGACAGACCGCGTGCACGTCGAGCGTGTCCACACTGAGGTCGTAGGCAGTGAGATGCATGCTCTCGAAGACCTCCCGCAGCGTCTGCTCGCGGCCCTGCTCCACGTGCACGATCTCATCCAGGTGCCGCTTCATCGCCCGCTTGATGAAGCGCAGCAAATGCTTCTGGTTCATGCAGGATGAGGCATGGATGTGGGTGTCCACCTGGGGTGGAACAGGGCACTGCTGGTCCGCCAGAGGCCGGGAGGGCCAGGGCAGCGGGATGGGAGAGGACACTCCATTCTGGATGCTGGGTTGGGGGGCCCAAGCCCTTGAGGGGGAGGCTGGGCAGAGGAGCAGGGTCAGGACACAGAGAGGGCCACAGGGTGGGGAGTGAGGGCCCACCTTGCGGATGTTGTAGAAATCTCGGTGTGGCACTTTCTTCTGGGCAGCCAGCTCCTTCATCTCATTGAGCAGCACGTGCATCTGGAACTTGGAGCTCAGGTACTGCAGCCGGCGGTAGCAGAATGACTTTCTGGGCACGAGGAGAACATGGCAGGGACTCAGGCCCTCAAGGGAGCACCCGGGGAGGGCCTGGGAGCAGAGTGGAGGGAGGAGGTGGGAGGGTGTGGGAGGAAGGCTGCCAGGAGGGCAACAGACTAAAGGAAAGTCTAGCGCTCCGTGACTAGAGAGGGGCAAGACACCAGGTGACAGGGGCTGGCGCAGAGCTGGGGCTGGAGAATCTGGGCTGGGAGGCGAGCTGACTGTCTGGGACGAGAGAGGACTCACATGGGGCCATTGATAATCAGGGCCATCAGCACATTGACGTCGGCCACAAATTCCTGCAGGTCGGGGTACGGCAGCTCCACCTCTGAGCAACTGGCACGGAGGGGAGCTTGGGTGAGGAGGGCATGCCAGGCCCGGCGGCCCCTCTCCAGCCACTACAGCCTCCCACAGAGTATCCCCCGGCACATAATACCCCTCTTACCGCTCATCGGCCTGCCTGCAGGTGTAGACGTGCACCACGCCCCGCACCATGCGCAGACCCAAGCCCAGGTCTCCAGGCATAGTGCTTGGCTCACAGTGCTCATATGGGTGCTGCTCCAGCGCAGGGGGGTGCACCGGGGCATCTGCAGGGGTAGGGAGGGTGGAGTCAGGGCCTGGGCTCTTCCAGGCAGGGGCTCCCGAAGAGGGTGAGAGATGTCAAAGACCCCAGCAGGGTAGGCAGCTCCTGACTTGACCTCCACCCCTGGGCACCAAGAGGCTGCGTGTGGGCAGAGGCAGGCAGGGCGGAGATGCCCAGGCCCCACGCTCAGGGAGTCCCAGAGCCCAGGGCTCTTGGGGCGGGGCAGGGAGGGGGGTCCCACCAGCAGACACGGGGGTGTCGGGGCCCTGGTCATAGGTCCGTGTCTCCAGAGGCTTCTCGGCCAGCTGCTGCAGGTAGCGGCGGGTGGTGGGGCAGAAGCTCTGCAGCGACAGGGCCATGTACTTCTCCCGGATGAAGAGTGCTCGCACCACACTCTTGGCTGCGTCCAGCAGGTCTGTGAACGGCACCTGGAGACAAGGACACGTGATCACTCTCCTCAGTCTCAGGCTCAGGCTCACTCTCACCTCCTTCCTGGGGCCGTACCCAAGATCCCAAGCTACCCTCACCTCCCACAGGCTCGGACCCCACAACACTCGGACCACTCTGGTCCCAGCACATCAAGCAAACCCTCTGACCTTCAGCTGCTGGGGAAGGAGAACCACCCTCTCCAGCAGCCCCTCACTCAGCTCCCCCCTGGGACACTGAGTAACGAACGGGGACCCAAGGTCCTGCCCCACACTCACCCCACACTTCTCCTCCCCGGAGATGGTGACCCGCTGAAACTCCCGTTCCAGCACCACGTCACGCTCCCGCAGGCCCCTGTCACCCTGCCCCTCGCCCTGCTCCTTGTAGAGCCTGCATGGGAGGGGACGGGGGGAGGTTGGAGCCAGCAGCAGGCAGGCCCCAGCTCCACATCCCTGGTACCCCTCTGCCCTCCTCACTGTAGGTCCGAGTCACTGTCCGTCTTCAGGAAATCTTGCTTGGCCCTAAGCAGGATGTCTGGCTCCAGCCTAGAGGGGTGAGAGGTCAGGCAGATCACGAGGGATGGCCCTTGCTCCCAGGTCCCGGCACGGTGCTAGGTGCTGTGCACGTGTTGCCACGTGATCTCACGGGCAGAGCTGTAGAACCCTGTGCTGTTCTTACCCCACTTTAGAGATGAGAAAGCAGACCCAGAAGTTAAGCAAAATGTTCCAGGCCACATCAGTGGATGGGAGACAGAACCAGAACCCAGCAGCCTGTCTCTGAAGCCCACACTCTATGCTGCCACCCCGTGTGGACCCCAAAGGGAGGACAGGAGAGGAAAGGGGACAGGGAAGGGGCTCTGAAAGGGTCCAGACGGAGGCAGAGGGATGCTGAGCAGACCACAGTGTGTGCCCTCGGCTCCAGGGCCCGGCTCACTTGACATCCTGGCTGATCTGCCGCTCCAGCCGCTGCCGCCGCTCCTCCAGCTGCTCAATGGGGCTCTCCTCGGGGAACTCATATGGGGCACTACGGAGCTCACTCTCAGCCAGCGAGCGGCTGAACAGCTCCTGGTGGGAGGGAAGGAAGGGTCATTGTGGACTAGCTCTCAGCCCCTGGGCCCTCTCCTGCAGAGTCTGGGGATAGGGTGAGGGCGGCAGGACCTGGGGGTACGTGGGAGAGGCTGAGGATCAAGAGACAGCCAAGCATGAGGCCAGGGGACAGCGGGGTGGAGGGGCATGGGGAGCAGAGGCAGGGCATGAGGACACGGGGTGAGGGGTGCAGGTGGTGCCCGGCGATACCTCGGCGATCTCCTTGCATTTGCCATCCATAGACGTGCGCAGGTCGAGCGGGAAGTGCTTGAGGCAGGGGGCGGGGCCCGGCAGAGATCGGGCAGACTGCAGCGGAGGGGCCCCCAGACCACCCCGAGCCTCTGCAGAGACAGTGATGCCAGGGTCAAAGGGTGGAGGGGCAGCCCCTGGAAGCCCTGGGCCCCCACTTGCCCCAGGCCAGCTCCCCAAAGAGCCCAGGGCCTGGAAAGTGGGCAGTCCCTCCTCAGAGGCTGAGGAGTGAGCCTGTGTGTGACTCCTAAAGGACCTCACCCCCATGTCTAACACAGGGACCCCTCCCCCATTCCAGGCTCGCAGGTGGGGGTCCTGAGTCTGCCCCTAGAACGAGTGGATTTATTCACGCAACAGAGAAGAACCCCGCGCTAGGGCCTGCTCCCTCAGGCCACCTTCAAGTGACTGCCTCCCAGAGCAGGCGCTCATCCGTCCGTGTGCACACACGCACATACGTGCACAGACACATGCACGCTCACAGAAACACACAAACGTGCACACAGACACACACCAGACGCTCTTAAAGACTAAGCGGCCACACCAAGGACCCCAGCCCACAGCTCTCGGAGCAGGCGATCCGGGATCAGACCTGCCCCAGGACGAGCAGATCCTCCACTCGGAGGGGCAGGGCAGGGCAGGGCACCTGGCGTCCCAGACCTACGGAGCACAGGGAAAGCCACGGCGGCCCTCAGCTCTTACCAGGGGACCGGCCCTCAAGGGGAGAGGAGGAGAGTCAGTGGAGGACCTGGTTGGCAGGGAGCCCCACCTCCTCCCTAGAGGCCTGCCTCTCCCCGAGGACCCCGGGGCTGCCAAGAAGTGGCCTGGCTCTGGCCCGCCCCTCCCACTGCTGGCTGCCCCTCCAAAGGGAGCTGCCACAAACAGTCTGCGCCACTTGGAGGCCCCAGGATCTGAGCCAGAGGCCCTGGGGAAGGGCGTTCTCAGAGCCAGGGGTCTTTCTCCATCAAGGACGGGACTCCTCATCTGCACCGCCAGGAGGCTGCCACTGAAGACCTTGAGGCTGCCGGTCTACAGGGGCTGCCTGAGCCCCAGCCCACCCCCAGAGGACCCTCCCTGGGCTCAGGACAGCCTCCCCAGCGGGAAGCTTGGCTCTCCCAGCCAGCTGTGGGGGTGCTCCCCTCCAGCACCCTCCTTTGCCCTCTCCACCCTGGCTTGGGGAAGGGCTGAAGGCTCTGCCTAGGTAGCCTGCCTTAAAGTCTCTGTGCTGGTTTCCCCGTACTCCAGGTCTGGTCCCAAGGCTGGACGAAGGGAGGAGGACGGTACCTGCCCCAGACATAGGACCTAGCCCCCTGCTCAGCCTGGTCCCTGCCTGGACCCTACCTACAGAGTTCAGGCGGCTCCGGTCAGCAGCCTCGTGCCCCTTGCCTGCCTGTTTGCCGAGTGAAGCTGCAGCCAGTCCCCCGGGGCCGCACGGGCTGTACCAAGTGCAGCTGTGAGCAGGGGAGACCCTGGGATGGCTACGAGCAGGGGGCTGGGGGAGTGCAAAGGAGCCCAGAAATCAAGGGAAGGAGCATCAGAGTCGGGAGGTAAGACGAACTCCAGAACTGACAAGGCCTTAACCTCCACAGTGCCAGGGAGGGCCCAGCCGAATGCAGGGATCCCAAGGGGGAGAAACAGGGTAGGCTGATTGGGAAGGGCAGGCAGGCAGGGAGGGGCCAAGCTTCCTTAAAATCCACTGCTCTAGGGGACAGTGGGTAGGCAGGGCCTGGCCGGCCAGAGGGTAGGAGGGGAGAAAAGGGAGGGGGGGCAGCCCTCATCTCTGAGCCCAGCTGCCCAGGCCAGCTCCCCCTGCCCAGGGGCCTTGCTGCTCACCGCTGTCCTCTGGCCCCGCTTGTGGGGTCCCTTGGGAGAGACAAGGCCTTGCTGGGGAGAGGAGCTGGCTGTCAGCTGGGGAAGGGGCCCAGTCTGTGTAGGGGCCAGTTACTGAGGCTTCCCAGCTGCCCAGCTGCTCAGACCTCCAACCCTATTCCAGGCCTACGTTCAGGGACAGGACAAACTGTCCAGAAGGAGAGGTTTAGGAAAAGAGGATCTAGAATTTGGAGGACTTGAGTCTGACTCTTCCCACTTACTGGCAAGTCCCTACCTACCTCTGAGAGGCTTTGAGTCTACAACCGCGGTGATAAAGGGTCTGAACCCTGTCTCGCCACAGCTGCCCCAACACTCACAGAGATTGAGTGCTCTACAAGTGTTCTGTGAAACACCAGCCTCTGTGCAGAGGTGAAAGTCTACAACTATGGACTCCTGGGACCCTCAAAACACTTCCCACATGGAGTCTCACTCCTGGAGGAGGCTGGGAGGTTCTTGGCCAGTGCAGGGCCAAGGCAACTGAGCAGTGAAGGACAGCGAAGAGAACTTGGCGGGGGCGGAGATGAGGATGATGTATCTCTTCCTTGGAAAAGGACAAAGTAAGAAGAGGAAAAAAAGAGGGATACCTGCCTCTCCTCCAGTAGTAAGGTCTTTTCTTGCCCAAGAACCCTGATCCTACACACCTCCTCTCTACGTATGGCCCCAGACCACAGACCTCCATGGCTGCTTTGTATGGGTTCAGCAGGAGCTGAGTCAAAGACCCAAATTGCAACCACCAGCGCCCCCCCACCCGCCCCCACCAGCAGGGTGGCCTGGGGCCTCCATCCACAGCAATGCTGGGGTGAGCAGGACAGGTTCCAGCAGCTAGCCTGCCAGGCCACCGCACAAGGCTGCAGAAGGCTCAGTGGAGATGACAAACAGGCAGTGACCTCCATGCTCTCTGAGGCCAGGCCTAGAAGACTCAGCTGCCTGCTGGTCCCTTCTCCCAGGGCCTGCGCTGGAGGTTCCCAGCTACAGCACCAACACACACATAGCCCACACTCACACAGGAGGAGTTGTCCAAAAGCCAACTCCACTAACTCCACGCCCACCAACTGCAAGGTTCTGACCACCACTCCCATATACCCTCTTGGCCAAGAGCCCCCTCGCTCACTACCAGGACTGCCTCTGTAGGCAGGGAGTGCCCAAGGCCGTCACCCACGAATATGAGATGCTCACACCATCTGACCACCCAAAGGTCTCTGGTTCAGCAATAGGGCTACTGGTGCAGATCTGGCCACAAGGGACACACTTTCTGGGCACAGAGAACACTCTCAGGACAGTACAGACCTTGCACCAGGCATCTTCGATGGCACAAGAAAATACAGGAGGTGGATGATCAGACTATTGTTATCCAGAGCTGTGGGAGGGGTGGGGGGACTCTGTTGGCATGACCTGGTCACCAAAGTGGAGAGGGTCTTTCCTTAGCCACAAGGCAGCAGACGGCAGGCAGACATCCCTCTGCAAGCACAGACCCAGGCAGCCGAGGCAGCGGAGGCAGCTGAGCCCTCACCGAGACAGGCACTGCCGCACCGGGCTGCCGGCTCCAAATGGTGCAGCGATGCCTACTAGAGCGGGAGCCGAACCAAAGGGTGCAGGAGCACACACAGTGCAGGCAGCAGCCCAGCCCGATCCTCCACACAGCGAGCAAACAGCAAACGACAGATACGGTAGAGCCCCCAGCTCTGGGATGCCAGCCAGCAATGGGTGTGCCCAGACCACCGGTGAGGGGGATCTAGTTCCGGGATCCTGGAAAGAGGAACTAGCCACAAGAGAACAGCCTGAGTCTGTCTGGTAAAGGCACAGGCGCCAGTCTGAGTGGCCAGTCCACAAAGCAGCCAGTCCCACACACCCCCGCTCCATTCACACACGCTTTATAGCAGTCTTAGCACATGCACACGCTGACACGTGTGCATACACACCTCTTGCTGCACCCACACCCACACCTACTCCTTGTTACAGAGGACAGCATCCCTGACATAGAAACCTCAGTCACCCCCCACCTCCCTTCCCCCAACCCCACCTCCAAGCTCAGCCCCTGGCACTGAGGTCGAGGAGCACCACCTCAGATAGGACGCTGGAGAAGAGGCCCCCCTCTCTGGGGGACCAGTGGCCTGGGCGAGGGGTGGTGGGACAGAGCCCGTGTCTGAGGCCGGCAAGCACACACTCACCTGGAATTGCAATGGAGGCCTGCAGGCTGGCCCGCTTCTTAAAGGGATATTTGGTGTTGGGCTTGCCGGGGCCAGATGGATAGGATGCCATGGCTGGGGCCGCAGCAGTGCTAGCGGGGGAGTCTGAGCGGCACTGGCTGGGGACTGGCTCTGCCACATCCAACCCCTTCCTCCGCCCCGCCCCCAGCGGGAGTGACTGATGCAGGAAGCAGCGCCCCGCAGGCGGAAGAGGCCCTGGCGACGATTTCCCAGGTTGTCTAGGCAACCTCAAGAGTGGGGCCTCATCCCTGCCCCTTATCCCTCACCTCCCTCCGCCATCCCTGGAGTGACGTGACTGACGGTGGCTGGGCCTGGGGAGGGGGCCGAGGGAGAGAAAACAAGATGGAGAAGGACCAGCCCCTAGCCCTCCACTAACCCTCTCAGAAACCCTCACCCCTCGCCAGCACTCCAGGCCAAGGGAGCCAAAGTCCAGGCTAACTTAGCCTGGGAGGAAAAAAATAACAGTAAACAGGAATCCAGCAGTGAATGCCTCTAAGCTCAGAACACACTCCTCTCAGAGTAGGGGTACTCTGGGGCAGAGCCCCCTTTTTTTCTTTTCCATCTGACCCCAGGGGTGGCCTAGCTCTGGTTGGAGGGGGTAGAACTGAGAATCTCAGCCCAGGAGGGAGGGACCTGTCTTGGGAAAATTCCACTGTCCAGCAGAAGCTGCCTCCTAGGAAGGCAGGAAGGCCAGGAGGCAGGGGCTTGGCTCGGGGTCTGGGAAAGACATCCTAGACTTTTCCGTCTGTCTTTGCACACTCAGGCTCTGCTTCCCCAGGCCCTTCCAGGAGGAGGTGGCCGCCTTCCCTAGGACCTGCAGGCTGTGCTGGGACCCCCACCCTGTTGTCATCCTGGCCATAGCACTTCTCTGTCCCAGAGACCACGCGAGCACACTCACCTGAGGCCATGATGCCTGAGTCTCAAGGGCCCCCGGGGACGGCGCCCAGGAGGGTCTGCAGAGCCGGGAAGCCGGGTCCTGAGGGAGAGGAGGGGGGCTGGGGCACAGACCCCCGCCAAGTCGCTTCAAGGGCCCCTGCCCTGGCACCGAGATGGGGGAGGTGCAGCAATCTTTCAAAATTGCCAGCTGACTGGAGACGGACCCTGCTGTCCTCGGCGGCCAGACTGGCCTCAGGAGACCCCGGCGTCCCGAGCCCCAGCCCCGCACTCTAGATGCGGACAAGCCACGTGCTCCCCAGGGAGCGGGATCCGGAACTCGTGTGGGCTTCTCTCAACACTGCCTGCGTATTCAGGGTCGGAGTCCCGCGGCTGGATTGCGGGGGAGTCACGCAACAGGTGCGACCCTACCAAACTCTCGCCGACGCCACGCCAGTCTGCAGCCCCAAGCCCGCCGGTCCGTGGCCCCGCCCCCGCTCGCGCCCGCCCCGCCGCGCCGGCCCCGCCTCGCCATTTTTTCTCTTTCCTGGCGCCACGAGGGCACCCTCCACACCACGGTCTGCCCCGCCGGACCCTGGGTCTTGGGCAAGGTTTGTGCTTCTTCAGCTTCCTCATCAGTAAGATGGGATGGGGTAATGACAGTGCCTCACCCAAAAGAGTTATTGTGAAGATTGAACGTAAAGTCCCTTTGCACAGTCCCTGGCACGAAGTCAGGGCCAAATAAAAGGGGGCTGTTACTGTCCCAGAACTCATTTTAGGCAGAAGTCCTGCCCCTGCATTGTCACCTAGGTCATCTGTTTTCTTCTGGCTGCCCTAGGTAGGCAGGGTGTGCTCTGCAATTCTGGCTCCCCTTCCCACATTAATTTCTGTATTTGGTGGTTAAGAGCTTAAATTCTGTAGCCAGAATGTCTAGGTTCAAATCCAGACTCCTCCACCTAATTTCTGATATTGGGCAATTTACTTCTCTGTGCTCCTATTTCCTCTGTAAAATGAGTGTAAGAGTACCTGCTTTATATGGTAGTTGTTAAATGAGCTAACATAAGTTAAGTACTTAGAACTGTGCCTGGCCTGTAGTTACTACTCAGTGTTCCCATATTATCATTGCTTTGGCCTTGGCCTTTGTTCCCTGTTGACATTCACAGGGTGATTCACCTTGCAGCATGTAAAGAAATGGAGTTGGGCTGTTTGGGGGACTGCAGACACCCTAGCCTACCAGCATCCCCACTCCCAAGGGGTAGAGAATCCAACCTAAAGGGAACTTGTGGAGGGAAGTCCCTGAGACTTCACTGAATATAATTAAGTGCATTAGCAGCAATGAATCTCTTCCCTATTCTCCCGGTTGTGGGAGCCCTTTGGCCCCCACACCCAGTTGTTCTAATGCTGTTTGTCCAGCTCCTCCCAGTTCTCCCAACCGCCACAGCAGAGTTCCTTCCCAAACTCTGCCTCCCTCTTCTCTCCCCAAGGCTGGATTCTGGACCCTGAACCCTAATCTCTACCTGCGTGTGGTATCACCTCCATTGATCCCCTGTCTACTGCTCCTCACCCCAAACAAACTTAAAAACCCTTGGCCTCCGTAAACATTGTGGTGGGGCGGGGGAAGTTCCCCTCACAAAGAATCTACTAAAACTAAAAAGAGAACGAGGAGATACCATGTTTACCTATCGAAATCGCAAAGACTGAGAAAAATGTCCTAACACAGGCAAGGGTGTAGTTAGTGAGATGGGACATGACACAACACACACACACACACACACATAGAGTATTGGTGACCATAAACATTGATACAATCTTTTTGAAAGCCATTTGGTAACATGTAATAAGAGTTTCTAAAGGGTTCTTATTATTTATTTAACACAGTAATCAACTTTCAGGAAATTGTTCTTTTAAGGAAAGCTGCCAGAAAAATGTGTGCACAAAGTTATTCATCACTGTAATGTTTATCACATAGAAAGGTTAGAAACTTGAAGGTCCAACAGTGGAGACTGTTTAAATTATGTCATTTGCATACAATGAAATATAGCCATTAAGAATTGTTCTTGGAGAATTTTTAATAATGTGGAAATGTTTACAATATAAAGTTAAGTGAAAGGCTGGATGTAAAAAAACTGTACATACAGTGTAGTCCTAATTATGTGATATATACTCATAGGAAAGAAACACACCCAAAAGTTTACAAATAATTATCTGTAAGTGGTAGAATTACAGATATTATTCTTCTTTATCTGCATTTAAAAAATTAATTACAGTACATATCCATTATTTTTATAATTAAGGGCATAGAAATCAACAAAAGCCTGTAAAAATCTGTAATTGCCTCCACAGGCCCCCAACCTCAGGCTCTCCAAGTCTTAAACCCAGACTCAAACATAAACTGTTCTTTTTTTTTTTTT